CTTGGGGGGCTGCATCCGGCCCCCGGGGCCTTAGGTTGCCTACCCCTGCTCCAGTGCTTTGCTTAGTTCCTGCAGATTCATACCTGTGACCTCCCTAATAGAGTCTATCTATCTGGTGTGTGATCTTCCTCTCTTTCTACTACCTGGCACCATTGTCTTTTCTAATAAGTCCTCCAGATGTGGCCCTAGTAGAACAGTTCTCAATTTCATCATCTTTGCTTCAGGTTTGATCTGTTCCAGGACCCATTTGTTTGTCTTTTTGGCTGTCCACAGTATCCTGAGTACTCTTCTCCAGCACCGCATTATCTCAAATGAATTGATTTTCTTCTTATCTGCTTTCTTCACTGTTCAGCTCTTGCATCCATGCATGGTGATGGGGAATACAACAGCTTGGTCAACAACTCCCAGTAGCCCTAGCCAGGATAGCTGATGTTGAATAATGCGTACCTCCTCTCTTGACTGGTATAACCCAACAGTGACGCATCATCTCCAACTTGGCTTTTGTGTTACTTTATTTACTCTTCTGTGAGCCATCTAGAGAACATAGGTCAGGAGGCAGTCATTACCAGTATAGTAGAATCATAGAATCATAGAGCTGGAAGAGACCGTAAGCACCATCCATGCCAATGCCATGCCATGCAGGAACTCACAATCAAAGCATCCTGACAGAAATAATCCCTAGACAATATAGAAAGTTACAAAGGATTTACACGCTTACAACCCTCTCCATTACCTAAGTGTAAGTAGCCCACATGAAGGATACACAAGAGCCCCAAAATACTGGTGTTGCTGCATCTTTAAAGATTGTGTTGAAGTTAGGATTTTGGCAGGTGTAGATGCATGACAAGCTTCACCTGCTGAAACCTCCACTTCCACAGAAGCCTTGCCTTCTTTTGTACTTGGTTTATCAGGTTACTCCTACCAGGTGCACTGGGAAGAAACAGAGAGGTAAGCCACAGAACAGGGCAACAACCCCTTCTTTAATATGTCCCTCCCCATGGACACTCTCTGGCCTTAAGAGCAACATGGCAGGTAGTAATCCAACAGATGTAGCTTTGCCATATAAGAATGGAGAAAGCTCCATCTACAGATTTTTTTCCCCTTTGCAGGTGGCTTTTAAGCCCTAGAAGCCCTCTGGGTAAAAATGAACAAAAAGATGGAAACTGTATGATGTAGTTACCTATGAACCACACTTCCTCATGGGAGCACCTTTCAAGAACAAACAGCAGGCAGGACATTAGGCAAATTAGGTGAACCACTTTGGACAGAACATTTTAGAAAATAATATTAGATGATGATGATGATGAGATCAAGTCCCCCACCATCTAGGTCAGGGGTAGGCAACCTTTTTGAGCTGGGGGCTGGGTTGCTGTCCCTCAGACAATTTGGGGGCTGAAGCAACATAAATAAATAAATAAATAAATAAATATTTTTTTAAAAATTAAAAAATATGCATGCACACTCTCTCAGCCCCAGAAAAGCCATGGCAAAACCCCTGTGGAGATTTTGCCAAGAAAACCCCAAGAACAAGTAATAACAACAATAATCAATATCATTATGGCGGGCAGCGGGGGCGGTAACGGTGGTGGCAGGACCAGCCTGGGGCCGGTCCAAAGGCCTCAGGGGGTGGCATCCAGCCCTCGGGCCTTAGGTTGCCTACCCCTGATCTAGGTTATACACCTAAAATCTTCTAAGCATTATAGCGAGGCACATAAATTTGATTTTAATTACATTTTTAATGTAAGGAATGGGTATCCCTTAGACATTCTTGCTCATCATAGCACTTATGTGTCCTCACTCTATTTGCAAAAGGAAGATTGTAAATTCTAAAGACAGAAACCAGGGACCTGTCCTCTTGCTTACACTGCTGTGAAGGAGCCAGTGTGGTGTAGTGGTTTGTGTGTTGGACTATGACTCTGGAGACCAGGGTTTGAATCCCAGCTTGGCCATGTAAACTGGGTGACTTTGGACAAGTCACACTCTCTCAGCCTCAGAGGATGGCAATTGCAACCCCGCCCCCAAAGAAACTTGCCAAGAAAACCTCATGATCTGCTCACTTTAGGGTTGCCGTAAGTAGGAAATGACTTGAAAACACACAACAACAAACAACAACTGTGGATCTTGGTGTGTGACTGATACAACCCTCCAGATGTTGTCAGGCTGCCATCCTCACCATCCAATATATTGGATTGCAAAAGAGGGATCCCTGTTGAGATGCAAATGGATTTCAAATTTCCTGGACTTTGCCAATCTCCCTATAGCCATAGAGCCAGAAGGAGGAGGAGGATCCTGCCTACAAAAGATATCCTCTCCACCTTAGACCATCTTCACTTAGGACAGAAACATCAAAATGCAGGCATCTGACTAACATCTCCAATTGTTTTTCTCCTGTTTGCTTTGTAACATCTTGCCTGATGAAGAACCCAGTGGAAAGCTTGCAACAAGTATATTGTGCATTTTGGTTGATCAATAAATGTATCACTCAGGGATTTTTGTTTGAATCCTCACCATCTGTTATCATTGGCTTTAGGCCAAAAACATCTGAAGGGTTACAGCTGCCCACCCTTCCCTACCATGTGCCTTTCTTAGGGCCTCTACACAAGGATTTCCTTCTAAAAGTGTTTTAGCTACTGAAACTGATCCAGAACGTAGCAGCCAGACTGCTATGAAAAAGCTTTGACCACTTTTATGAGCTGTCATACTTCATCCTATCCCAATTAAAAGTGATCTGTGGCCGGCTTAAGGACCTTCTCCCCTATGAAGCTGCACCTATGCTCTGTTCAGCACCTGGAAGCCTAATGGTTGTTCTTTCCCTTCTGATCTACACTGGTTGGAAACATGCATTAAATATATGTGTTAGGTGCCTTCAAGTCATTTCTCAACTTATGGCAACCCTGGGGTTTTCTTGGAAAGATTTGTTCAGAGGTCTGCCATTGCCTTAATAATAATAATAATAATAATAATACTTTATTTATACCCCGCCTTTAGCCAAGGCTGTCAAGGCGGCTTACAGTTAAAACACCCATACAGTCAACAACATATACCCCCTCCCTTAAAAATATATTAAATCCTTTAACAAATTAAAATCTCGTAATAATAAAACAATTAAACATATCACATGAAAAGACATCCCTTAAGGCTGAGAGTTTGTGACTCGCCCAAGGTCACCCAGGGGATTTCATGGTCAAGCTGGGAATTGAACCCTGGTCTCCAGTGTCATGGTCCAACACTCAAACCACTAGGCCACACTTGCTCCCAAATGTGTGTGTCTGTATGTGTATTTCAAAATTGTGGAAGGAACATGGCTTCATTAGACTTCTCCTGCATCTTTAAATATTGTGTAGAGGAGAGAATGTCACCAAGTGTGGGTTGTATAATAAGCTGCACTTGCTGAAATTCATTTTGCTGCATAACAATTAAACATGCCAAACACCTGTTATCTTCTCTTGCATCTGTGGCACACGATTCTTAGAGAAGTTCACCTGTTTACCTCCCTCCTGGCATTTCAACAGGCAGAAAAACCAAGGAGGCCTTTGGAGTTGTAATTTGAGTTCTTATTTATACAGATTTGTTTGCATATTTGGGTTGGGAATTGTGCAGGCATCCAGATATTGTTGGACTGCAGCTCCCAGCAGCCCTACTCAGCACAGGCTAAATCCATTGCAAAATTAATCCAGTTTGACAATGCTTTCACTGCCATGGCTCCGTGCTATGCAATTCTGAGATTTGTAGTTTTGTGAGCTATATAGCTTTCTCTGCTAGAAAGCCCAGGCGCCACAACAAACTTCAAGTCCCAGGATTCCATAGGATGGAGCCATGACAGTTTTTAAAAATCTTTATTGGGTTTTATTTACGGTAACTTAAAACAAGGAAACACAAAACAAAAACTATACAAATGACATATTAAAAAAACATTTCCTTTCAATGCTAACAACCTAAATCAAAAAGTAGTGCAATTAATTAAAAGTTGTCTTCCAAGTACTGTGATATTTTACTATATATATATATATATATTTGCATTTCTTTGCTTTATTGTTTATAAACATATTTACATTATCAGA